AATTGCTTTGCAGTGTTGCCAGATGGCCTGGGAAGTCTCACGGGGCATCCCAGGAGTTGAGGTGGGAGCCCCACTTCCCCACTGACCAGCCCAATTCCCTCTCCTCAGAAGCAATGATGCTGATTTCCGAGCCCCCCTGGGAAGATGAACCAGATAGAGCAGGGGATGGGCTCACACACATCCAGTCTGTAGTGCATGTTCATGGTTAGCTTCATTACCCAAGCTCAGTCGCCAGAAGCTTCCAAGACCAAGGAGCCTCTTCATGAAAGGGCAGGCAGAGTAGCAGGCTCTGGAAATGCCAGTTGCCATGTCTGTGTGTGCCCCCACTCCTCACTTGGGGAAGAGTCATCCATATTCTGGCAACCTCACCACAACAGGCAAGTTGTGGAAAACCACTACCCTCACCCCTATGGGAGACTTGACTGGGAAGGACAACTGGTGGTGGGCATGGCCACGTGAGTAGAGGGCACATCCACATCTTTCACACCTACCTTATACCTCACCTGAAGGCCCCACCCAAATCCTTTCATCCACACAAGGAGAAGAGCGCTAAATTTGGATACCTATTAAGGGAGAGTGCATCACAGCAGTAGATCCAGGAGGCAAGTCCAAATGGCCATCCTCAAAAAGAGCCCAGCCCTAGACTGGTCTGTATCATGACGAACACCCACTAACATGGGCAACAGACAGCCTCCTCCAGCCTTCCCCATATGAGGTCTACAGCACCCTTGTGCAGAATGTCTACAATGTGCTCCACCAACAAATCCCCGTGGAAATAGCCGGCTCCTACATTTAACCCTCTGGTGGCATAGTAGTTATGAGTTGTGCTGCTAACTGCAAGGTCAGCAGTTCGAAAACACCAGCCTCTCCTTGCGAGAGAGGCTCTCTACTCAGTAAAGTGTTACAACTGTGGGTTTTCCCCTGTTCTACAGGGTCAGTGAGTCAACATGGACTCAGCGGCAGTGAGTTTGTTTGGTTTTTTGCAAGAATCTCCTGAAGGCACTCACCTCCTTCCTTGTGCCTCCTCCCCACCTCATCCTTCCTTAAGGCCTCTTCTTTTCCTCTCTGTGTCTGCAGCCACTGACTGAGTACTCTCCCACTTCCAACCAACCCTCTAAACCTCTGCCACCTAGTGCCAATCTGTGCCAGTTTGACTCCCACCTGGCTTAACCGAGGAGGGTTTAGAAAACTGTGGGGCTGGATGAGCCCTGCATTCCCAGAGGAAGCCTTCTGGGCTCTGCCATGGCAGACACAGGCCCAGTCAGGGAGCGCCTTCTCATCTCTTCTTCGCGGAGCAGTCTTGTTTGTCTTAGTATTTTCCACAGTATTTCTGTAATCACCACCAGCACCTCCCCAGACCATGTAGGCAGCATGGCTAGATTCCAAGAGGGCAAACCACTCCAGAGATCTCGGGCACCCCTCAGAGAGCTCCTACGCACCCAGACTAGGCCCTGACATGGAGAAGGTGGAGACCATGCCGTCAAAGGAGTGGCCACCGCAGGCCTCTTGGCTTGCTCGTTTCTCAGTGAAGCACAGTGCAGTACACTAAGTTCCTTTGTTGTTTTGGGTTGTTTTGTTTTTTAAGGTTTTATAGTTTATTAATTCTCTGCTGAAAAATTCACATAACCATTGTAGATCAAGTCACTGTAGAATCGTTATTCTTTCTGTGATCCAATCTCCATCTCCCTGCTAAGACACGTCATTCCTTTTTGCCAGCACCAGCGTTCTCCATGACTTTCTTCCTACTGCTCTTGGGCGTCTGCTGGAGATCTTTTTCTTCTCGTGCAGGCCATGGCTTGCAAGTCTGGGCTTAGGTTCATTTTTCTTTGCATAATTCCAAGGACTCGTCAATCATGCTGAAGCCAGTAGTCTCGCCACCCCCCAAATGGGTGCTAAATCCAAATACAAAAATGACATCTGGATGTGGTCTTGTACATTTTGGCTCGGCTTTCACGAATTTCTGTCTTAGGCTCTGTCGCTTTCCCAGGGTGAAGGACATCAATGACCATTTGTTTTCGGTGAAGTAGTCGGTAGGTCATGGGACTTCCTGGTCCAGATAGCTACTGTGTCATTCACGATGGCAAAGGACATGCAGGCAGCCAGAAAGCCGCTAAATTCCTTTAAGTAGCTTTTTTTTTTACCTTCAGCTTTTGGAAAATTGACTTTAGAGGATTTCCCTTGAACAATCTTGGACTCCATGGTAACCATGTGGCTAGCCGGCCTGCCTGCCCAGAAACTGACAGTGGGGCACATGTATTAGTTTATAAAGCCCCAGCAGCATAGTGTTTACATATTGGGCTGCGATCCACAAGATCTGAAGTTCGAAACCACCAGCCGCTCCACAGGAAAAAGTCGGGGCTTTCTACTCCCATAAACCGTTATAGTGCCAGACTCTCACAGGGGCAATTCGGTGCTGTCCTCTCGGGCAGCTGTGAGTGGGCAGCAACTCGATGGCAGTGAGTGTGTGAGAAGAGACAGGCTTGGATGAGCCTCCTGGTGGTGCTCTTGTGAGAATCAGTGTGCGCCCTAGAGCACAGTAGTCCTGGGGATAACTCACTCTGCGGGCCTCGCCATCTGTCTCCTTTCTGGTATGACAAATTGATAATGGTAGGTTCTCCATAAATTCTGTGAGTCATTCCAGGGAATTTTGGAACCACGGGGGCAGTGAGACTCAGCAGGTGTTGGCATCTGCCTATTTGGAAATCTGATGGGCCATGCCCTTTAGCTTGTGAGCTAAGAACCAGCCCTGGATAGCTAGAGATGAGGAATAACAGAGGCCAGTTAGTCCGAAGTGAAGGGAATCACTTGGCACAAGCATGCAGCTGGTGCTCCTACCCAAGACCCGTGTGGCTGGGGATGAGAGAGAGTGGTGCATGGAGGAGCTGGCCACGAGGATAAAGAAGTGGGAAGGTACGAATTGGGTCCCTTTCTAGGTGGGAATTGGATTCATGAGGATCCTTACCAGGCGGTTAGCAATAAAAGTGAGGTTTGCTCACTGTAACCCTTGTTTATCATACACAGCGTGACCAATCGAAACCACCTGGCAGGGGCAGCACATGGAATAGGTTTCAGGAGAGCTTTCCAATGCAGTCACTCCGCCAGTCTGCCATGGAGGAGGTTCAGCCATTGCCCAGCCTGGCATCTTGAAGGCTTCAGCACCTAGCGTGACTGGCAGTGGGCCCAGGAGGCAGATGTCTTGGCCTAGCAGTGCCCCTCCCTGCAGAGACCTCTAGCCTTCATCTCTGCTCAGTCAGTTCCCAGCCGTCATCCGAGGCTCAGTGCAATGTTTCTGCCTCCATGAAGGCTGAGATGCTCTGGCTGAGACACCTGATGTTCAGTGCTATCTGATATTCCGCCGGGTCTTTGTGCCCCCCTGGAAATGAGCAGTCCATGTTGCTGAACCCCCCCTTAAGTTCACCTCAATTTTCCAGGGTACTTATTGGCCTAGCATTAAGAGTGTAATTTCAAAGCCAGATATAAATGCCAGCAATACCAAATTTGCAACATTTGATCACTGCGAGTAATACTATTTGTCCGTGCCTCAGTTTCCCCATAGATACAACAGGATATGGAAAGAATTCAATAAAAAATTAAATGGAAATCATTTGCTTGAGATCGTAAGAGCAGGATCACATTGGGGGGAAAAAACGTTAGATGGGATAAAATTTTAGATTTGGTATGTATGTCCTTTATACCCCTACTGGGGCCTGAGGCAGTACCAATCCACCCCACCCCATAACCCAATACATAAAGACTTCTTCAGGAAACACATGAGTGCTCCCATGAAGTGAGAGGAAGATTGTCGTCAGGTTTTGCAATCCAGGCATTTCAGAAAAAAGTTTCAGATTTCAGGCCTCCTTGGAGTATCAGCACTGCAGAGACAGGGCCAAGGGCTTATAATTCAAATAACAGCTTAAACATAGAACCTAGACCATGTTAACCACATACAATTATCACGGGTCTCCTCACTATTAAATGGAAAGTACCCAGTGGCTGTTTCCCAAGTGAACTTGAGCTGGAACATCCAGGTGAAGCTTCACTTTAACCGCACATTGTAGAATAACAGAAAAGCAGCAGGCAGGGCAGGGTGTAAGGGCACGATCTGCTTGCTCCTACCCATTTCTGGGAGCAGAACATTGGTCTTGGGGTAAAAAAGTGGGAGGCTAGGTGTCATTAGAGATAGGTTGAAAAGTCTGGGCCACGCTGACAACCCTGGTCACACCCAGGACAAGCAGCTGGGGACCTACATGTGTCCAGGGTCTGAGGAGAAATTGCACCTCTATCCCCAGCACTGTTGTAGGCGCCTTGCTGTGTTGTAAGCAGAGGGGCTTCAAAACACAGTACTAGTGTCAGTACTAGTGGCCCAGGCTCCCGGGGCCGGGGTGGCATGCATAAGTGCCATGAGGGGCACAGGCCTCACCTCCCAGAGAGACGGTGGCACAGCAGGAGGACGAAGATGGGAAGGGCACCTTCTTGTCTCTGCATTTCCCCATTACCCTGCGAGGGCGGTGCACAGGGATCAATGCCCATTCACCTTCGCCTTGGAACATTCTGGCTTTCCTAAGCTTTAAAGACAGGAGGCTCTGTCTCCAGGCCCATCGGGCCCATCAGCAAAGAGCCTGTCGCTCCTGAACAAGTCCGCTTCAGAACCAAAAACAAAACAAAAAAAAATGCTCAGGGCCAGAAATAGCTGTGTTGAGTATGGGAAGGTGAAAGACACACACAAAATCCACAACAACGTCCGGATGCTAGTGTCTGGGGCCTTTTCCGCAGCGGTGTGTCTGCTATGCTTGGGCAAGCGTTTTCTTCTCTAACAACTGTCGTGCTCAGATCCAAGGAAATGAATCCATGAACAGTTAAGCTAAAAACAATGGGTGATTGATAGACCTGCTGGGTAAAACTGCTTAGAAATCAGTCTGCACCCATCTCAGATGTGTGGGACCCACCTGGCATACTGTGATTCCAGAAGTCATTCCAACAAAGAAAAGCTCCGTGCTTACCGTGGCTAGCTCGTCAAACTTCCCGAAGAGCTCATTCAGGAGTTTCACCAGCTCCTGGGCCGTGCACTGGGATGCCAGCCCCGTGAAGCCCACAATGTCCGCAAACAGAATGCTGTCGAGAGAAAGGGGGTGCTGGTCTGTCCCCCAACAAACAGAAACGGCCCACCTACTTTCAGCAATAATAGCCCCTTAATTATTGTGGTAGACTTGGACAGACATTTCCATCTCTTCGAAATAACCCATCGCATCAAAGCAAGCAAAAACGAAGGACTTGCTGTTTCCATTTTACAGGTGAGAAGACTGAGGCTCAGAGGCGCTCTAAGACTTCCTCCCACAACCACCACTCTGCAGGACAGCCCCTCCCTGCCCTCTGCTGGGCACCTTGCTTGAGAAGGGGACCAGCATGGGGGGAATATGATAAGCCTCAAGGCCCCAATACTCCCTTCTTCCCTTTCCACCAGCTAAGGGATGGAGTTGGGATCAAGGCACTGGATCTGGTTTGTCAGTGCGTCAAAGTAGACGGGGCCACAAACCCTGGGCTACTGTGCAGAGGAAACTGTGCGCCTCCGTGTGGTGAGGAAGGAAGCACACTCTCTGTGGTGTAGCCTATCCGTGTTGTAATGCACCTGTATGGCACAGAGCTTTGGAAGTTTAAATCTACTCTAAAGCACCTGGGGAGAAAGCCTGGCAAAAACCAAAGGTCACGGCCATTGCACATCCCCGGAGGGGCAGTTAGTTCTACTCTGACACACACGGGTTTTCATGAGTCGGAGCTGCCTCAACTGCAACTCTTTGTTTTATGCTCTCCACAAAATTTAGGATCCTCCTAGTACTGTGTCTGCGCATGACTCAATTTTGCAGAGATCCCAACGCTGGTTATGGTTGTTTCTTATAAAATTAAAGGATGCTCATTGTGGAATATTTGAGAAGTAAAGATAAGCCCACACAGATGGCTTTGTCTTTACATTGTTGTAGCTTTGAAACATCTTAAAACGCAGTAGGACAATCCTCAGTTATTGATTCATCCTCTTTCAAACTGTTCTTGGGCTTTCTCTAACAGGACCTAGACCTCCGCCCACAGCCCTCTAAAGTGTGTATGAAATGAAGCGATGCCAAAGCAAGAAAGGAAAAGAGTTATTCTGTTCCACAACCCAAAGAAAAGGTCATCCAATGTGTATGCTCTTCCGTCTGCTGCATCAGGTTAACTAGACATTTCTATGAATTTGTCCCTCTGCCTCTTTTTACCCTGCTCTGTTTCAGTACCTCTCCGGTGAAGGGTCCCATTCTACTAAAACCCCGAGGAGAACATGAAGTCCACCTCAGGCCCAGCATCAAGCTTATGGCCTAGTGCTTATGGCCAAGCTTATGGCACATGGTCTTTAGCAAGGAAGTGAGAAACAGGAGTTTGATGGTGGATAAGTAGTCCTGATGTGATAGTTAAAAACGAGGCTGTTCACTGAAATGTCAGCATTTCGAACCCAGGCTGGTCCTTAGGAGAAAGGCCCTGGCAATCAGTTTCTGTAAAGACTACCACCTGGGACCCCTAGAGACGTATTCTACTATGTCGAACATTGAGTCACTAGCACTCAGAATTCACTCGAGGGCACCAATCACAGCAAGCTTGTAGCAGCACTCTGATTTCCTCACTCTACACTCACCTTTTAAAGTTCACTACTAGTTCACTCATTCACATCTCCTGAGGCCCTGCTGTGTGCCAGTCACTATTTAGACTAATGCTAAGAGGAACGGAGATACAGCCACTGGGTGAGATTAGCTCACGGTCTACCCAGTTACCCTCGAGTTGATTCCTGTGTCAGAGGAGAACTGACCTACACAGCGTTTTCAGTGACTACTTTTGCAGAAGGAGATTCCCTGGCTGCTCTTCTAAGGAACTTCTTTGTAGCCTCAAACTGCCAAACTGTCAGTCAGCAAATGAGCACCTTAAATCATTGGCACTACCCATGGTCTAGTGTAGGGGTTGACAAATTTTTGAGACCAAAGAGCCAATCATGTCCCTAATAACAATGTAAACCTTATTTGAGAGCCATTGATATATTTTTAAAAAACAAATGAACTCACCATTATCTGAATAATCTCCTTTAATTTTGTTCAATTTTACTTCAAAAATCCACCCAATGAAAGCCTATGGGGTACAATTCCACTTTGATGCCCTGGGGCCACCTTGCATCAGGACACATTCTACGGCAACTACCTAGTTGTATTGGAGGTCGAGGGAGGGGGCAACATTCAACAAAGGCAAGAAAGAGAACTTCTAAGCCATTTAACTCAGCATGCCCAAAGGACTGTTTCATGGAATGCTTCTCCTGCATGGCGCAGTTCGTTTAGCATTTAAAACCCACCCGGTTGCTCCCTGGAAGAAAGCCCTGCTTATCCGTTTCTGGAAGGATTACAGCTAGGAAAATCATATGGGCCAAAGTTCTACTTAGTACCACAGGAGGTTATCATGAATCAGACTCGACTGGATGTAAATGTGTTCATATTTACATGAAAAACAACGGACAGAATTCCCTGAAGGTTTGAGCAAAGAATCATCCCCACAGCCTAAACCTCTGTAAGTGTGGTCAGGAGTCAGGATCTATGAGGGGACTAGAGTGGTCCTCTGCCCCAATCACTGGCTGCTCATTCCAGGATTCTCATTGTACGGGAAGAGGAAGAAGCCCGTTGTTCCTGGAGGTGTTACAAGGGCACTTACAACCAAACACCTCTCACATAAACATGGAAGATCTGTGAACACACAGCAAACCCTTCTGAGATTTCCGGAGCCCTAACCATAAACGTGTGACTCAAAATGAATAAAGAGAGGAGGCATCTCAGTAGGTTGCTTTTATGACACAATTTTTTCCTCCTATCTAGCTTCCTGACATTACATCTTAACTCAAATCTGCATTTTCAATAATACAAAAAGTGGGGACCCACATTCATGTTCATGTTCTCCCTGACAAGGCCCTCATGCATCTGCATATTCCACAAACCCTCTCTGTGCTCAGACAGCTTCTGTAACAGCCCAATGAAAACTCTCAGCTTGATCTACTACATCCCCACCAAAGCTGGCTGACGCCAAGGGACTGGGAGGGCTGGAGTGTGCAGACTGGATCTCACAGAGGCGATCACAGGAACTGTAGCTTCAAGATCTACATTCTGAATAAACCAGTGGATGGATGAATGAATCAAATGAATGAAGTCTGGAAGTGGAGGGCATTGGTAATATCATACATTAATTCTGGGAAGCTGAGAGAAAAAACTGCAGGGGTAGAGGTGGAGGACAGAGCTGAGTGGTTTTCTTCCACCTGGCTATACAATTCAGGCATATAAATATCTCTAAAAACCTATCTTTTCCTTCTTTCTCTCCTGTACAAAAACAATTCATCTGAACTCCTTTCTCTATTCACTGGCTTTTTGAATTTCTGAATGTTCACTTAGTTCTGCACACCTCTGCTAGGAGATCTCACAGTATTTGTGCTATTTGGATCTCCACTTTCTGAGGGAAAACTTGATCCCCAAGACACTTCAGATCCTCCGTCTACACAAGTCAACGCTTATAAAATGCCTTTCCCAAGCCAGGCTTCTTCCCTCAAGAGACTAAAAGTCCAAGGGCAGGAGGTTCAGAGCAAGAAGGACAGACAGGTGAGCAATTCAACAGAGTGCAGCGAAGCAATGGTGTGGAAGTCCAAAATGTGACAGGTAGCCACAGCACCATCTCTGAAGACAAGAGAGAGCTGCACAGATGAAGCTAGATCCGTATGAAATCTTGAGCCTGCCTGGGATGTACAGAGACAATGAGAGAAGGAAGGATTCAGAAAGACAGCAGATTCAAAATAAGGTGGATGAGAAATACTGTAGAGACTTACTAAACAACGAGACCACAAATGGTTGAAACGCATGGTTTGGGCAGTAAGCAGTAGAGCACGAGGCTTCCAGAAAGATGGAACCCAAGGAGTGTGCTCAGGAAAGGGCACAGGGAGAACTGAAAGGAAGAGGAAGGGCTCTATTAATAATGCAGCTGGCCCGTGTCCAGCCATGGGATGCTGGATAATTTAGCCAAGGCCTCCGTGTGCCAGCCCTTTCATATGTAGAGTGGGGATGGGGAAACAACTGTAAGAAATCCTGAGTTATAAATATCCAACTTACAAAGAGCCTGTAGTTACAAACCAACCCTGATAAAGCTTATTACACTAAAATATGTATCTGCATAATAAAAAATATAGAATAATAACACTACTAAAATGTAGTATGTCTAGGAGTGTTTCTTTAATGTTACTGATGCATATAAATACATATTACATACTATGTAAGTATATTACACACTACGTAAATGTAATGATAAACATTTGACTAACTCTAACTGATGTCAGATCCAAACCACGCCGAACTGTTCCAACTTATATACAAATTCATCTTTAAAAATTAGATGGTGCCCAGCTATCAGATAAAAGAGTGTCTGGGGTCTTAAAGGCGGTTTCTAAACAAGCAGCCATCTATGTGAGATGTCAACTAAGTCCACATAGAAGAAGCACACCATCCTCATCAGTCACTGAAGGATTGTGAATCATACAATTCAGCAGCAAAGGGAGGACTAGTATCAGACCCTAGATGGTGAGATTCTGGTTTGCAGAAGGCTGTGGCTGAGAGCTACCTGTGTGGGGTCTACAAAGGAAACAAGCCCTGGTGACTTCCCTGTATCCATAAGAGAGGAACGGGAAGAAACCAGTTACCGAATGACTTGAACGGTTAAAAACGTGTCAGTTGATCGCCGCTCTGATGTAACGTTGGGCCTGATGTGGTTTTCAACATTTTCTGTGGGCTTTTTTTGGTGTGGTAGTGGTTTTTATCTTTTGGGGGGTGGGATTCATATTGGAGTTTTTGTCAGATGTATTTTGTCTTGGGGATCACCCTCTTTAACTTAGGTTCGGGGTGGGGGGGTTCTTCTGTTTTTCAGTATATGAGCCCCAGGACTCATGAACTATAGCGACAGCAAGTAGAATAAGGGTTCCTGAGGGGTACAGGGGGGAAGGGTGGATAAAGGGGAGCTGATATCAAGGAGTTCAAGAAGGAAGAGAATGTTTTGAAAGTGATTGTGGTAGCAGTACACTATTATGCTTGATGTAACTGAACTATGGAATGATATGATATCTGGTTTTGAATGAAATTGGTTTGGAAAAAAATTTCATCTTAAAGACAGATGTAGAAACGGAACTTACTTGTAATCCGGGTGCTGCCTATAATGCAGATCTCATAGGGTTTTTAGATTAAATGAATTTTAAAATGTTAAACACTTAAACAATACTTTGGACCGAGTAAGAGCTCTGTACTTGCTTATCATTATTTATAATAAATTTGTAAGTGTTATCATTTATGCACTCAACTCAGCCATCACATATTTATTGACAGCTGTGTGTGCCGGGCATTGTTCTGGGTGCTAAGGATTTAACAGTGAGCAACAGAGTCCCATTTTAGACAAGAGGTGAAGAAGGAGAGTCAGTACATGGAGCAAATTCAGAGGACCTCAAGGGTGGCAAAATATCACAATAAAGAAACATGAAGCCAAGAAAATAAATATGGACGATCTGTCAGATTAGCTTAGGCTGCTCTGGTGACCGTTCAGCCAATTCCTGAAGGGGAGAAGTAAAGGAGTTCATCAATGCTAGGAGAAACCAGGGAAAGGGAAAGGGAACAGAAGGGTCTGCTGCTGATTCGGTCTGGATACAGAATTCTTAGTTGATGGTCTTATTTCCAGATTTTGGAGCCTTTATCCCACTTCCTCTGGTTGTCACATTTCTGATGAGAATTCAGGCATTAATCATATTAAGGATCCTTTGGATATGATGAGTCAGTTTTGGTGCATTCAAGATTCCTTAGGTCTCTCTGGTTCTCCTACAGTTTATTGCACTTGAAGTTCACTGAGCTATGTGTAAATTGATATTTTTAATCAAATTTGGAAAGTTTCTGACCATTATATCCTCAAAATGTCTTTCTGCACCTTTCTCTGTCTTCTTTCCCTTTGAGAATCCCATTATACATATGCTGGTCCACTTAATAGTATCCCACACATCTCTGGTTGGAATCATCATTTTTCTTTCTGTTCCTCAGACTGAACAATCTCTATTGAGCTATCATCAAGCTCACTGATTATTTCTTCTGCCTGCTCAAATATGCAGCTAAGACTCTCCAGTGAACTATTCTTTTAAGTTATTGTACTTTATGACTCGGGAGATTTCGAATTGGTGGCTTTGTATGTTTTCTATTTACTTATTGATCTCTATTTGATAAGACATACTTATCTCCTACTTTTCTTTAGTTCTTTACACAGTTTCCTTTAGCTGCTGAACAGATTTAAAACACCTGATATATTTTTGTCTAATATGCTCCACATTTGAGCTTCCTCAGGGACACTTTCTATTGACTGTGTTTTGTATGTTTGTTTGTTTTCCCTGTGTATGAACCATATTTCACTGGGTTATTTGTTGTTCTTTTGCAACTCTCGTGTTTTTCTGGTTGAAAGTTCTATATTTTAAATAATGTGCCAGTTCTTCGAATCAAATTCCAACCTCTTCCCAAAGATTGCAATTGCAGCTGTGTTTTGTGGTTGCTCTTTGTTAGATTCTTGACTTTCCTAAGCTGACCCTCGAGTCTGTATTTTTTGTCATGTGTGACAACTGAAGTCTCCAATTGGTTAGCTTAGTGGTCAGCTCACGAATGGACAGAGACTCACCTAAGTGCCTGAACCCAGTCTATCTTCCAGCCTTTTCAGAATATTGGAGAATGTCTTCAACACTCAGTCATAATGTGGACAACTGGACCTTAGCCTTCACTTCCTGCTTGTGCTAAGCCTCATGATCAGCCAGAGAGGAGAATGTAGAGCCTTCTAAGGTATTTCCTCAGCATTCACACAACCCTGAGCATACATACAGCTGTGTGCATGCCTGAGGCCTTCTAAATTTCAAGAAATATGCAGGGCCTTTCCAAAGTACCTGTAGGCATTTCAAGGAGCCTTCGTGGCATAATAGATTATGCATTGGGCTGCTAACCACAAAGTCAACCATTCAAAACCATCAGTTGCTCTGTGGAAGAAAGATGAGGCTTTATGCTCCATAAATATTTATAGCCTCAGAAACCCAAGGGGTAGGCCTCCTTTGTCCTGTAGGGTTGCTAGGAGTCAGAACTGTGACAAAGTTTGCTTGGATTTATGGGCATTTCATTCCCAAACATCTTTTCCTTTTAAATTTCACTTAGCTGGTTGTTGGCTTCAGCTATGATCAGTCGACTTCAGCTATTATTAGTTGTGGTCTCAAACAATTTCTTAAGGTAGCTATGGTGAAAGGAAATTTCTGATTATTCTGGTAGAATTCCTAGCAGAATTCAGGTTCAATGTTGCATGTCCCTTGCTAATCATTAAATGGAGGTAGTAGACCAAAATTGGCACTGCCGAGACAGACACCAGAGTCAACTTCCCCATTAGAGTCAGGTCCCATAGATGTCTGCTAAGCCTGAGTTTCCTCACCTAGAAACAGGAGTGTGATGATTTTAAACAGAAAAAGATAGTTAGCAGAGAGGTTCTGAGCACAATTTCTGGACTCAACCTAACACACACATAGGATGAAAGAGGAGTAAATGAGCGCTACCTATAAAACTTCAAAAAGCTGTCCGGTAAGCATATAGAAGACCATGGTCAGCAAGCTGGCTTTCAGTGAGAAATCAGACGGAGATGGGAAAGGGCTAGAGTAGTAAAACTCCCTATTTCAGATCAGCAAGAATGGTCTCAAGAGACTCAACAAAGTCTATGGTGCTCCGCAAAAGACAATAGATGGTTCAATTATTTTCTTAGATCTTTGTGTCTGTGAGAGCCCTCTCTACCCTTGATCTACCACAGAAACACAATGGACAGGGAGGGTTGCTACAAACTCCCAGAAAAGCCAGGCCAAAAAAATAGTGAAAAGTGTGTGAGGGTCCTTCAAAACTACCATGTCCCAGCAAAGAATGTGCATATATGTAAAATATGATGCCCAAACTAGAAATACTCATCAATGCTTAATACATTATACAGCAATAAACAGTTTTTATGATGAAATGTACAGCTTAAGAAAAACATACTTGTTAATCATATCTTAAAAAGGAACGAGCAAATCTGAGAGTGTGTCTTGAGAAAGTTGCTTCACTCTGAAAGCTCAGTTTTCTCACCTGTAAAACGGGAATAACGATACCTACTTTCCAGGGATTTTATAAGAAGACTACATTAAGGAACAGGAGAAAACCTACCCTGGAGCCACCTGGCCATTGACAATATCGCTGAGATTTGAATTTGACATGGGCAAATCTCCAGCCCCAAGTGTCCCTGCCCAAATCTACTTTTAGGGACAGAGTTCTGCCCCTCTCTAACCCACCAAGCAGCACCCAAAGAGCTGAAATTGAAAATGGGTAACAGGAGGTGTCACATGCACCCTCTGCTCCAGCCCACCTCCTACACGGCCTGCTTCCCTGTGGGTAGATGCCTCCCAGTGCTCCTGCCGTAACACAGGGCCAAAGCCTGGCCAACCTACCTCACATTGTCATGCCTCTGGATATAAATCTTGTGGAAAATTCTCTCAGGGGGTTTCAGAAAGTCCTCCTTCATCTCCATGGCAACATTGCGGGGCAGAAGACTCATCAGAAGCCGCTCCTGGTCAAAGAGAGAAGGGCACACACATCAGAAGGTCGCTTGTTGGCACTTCCTTGGCTGCTTGGAACAAGTTTAGGGGAAGCACCGCTGTGCAGCTGATCTCTCATGCCCATTGTCCGGGGTCTCTGATCAGGAGCCACCCTCACCTCCTGAGAAGCCATTCAAAGCCCAAGGCGTCTCATACTGTTCCCTACACAAAGTACTGAACCCCATCTGCCATGTGCCCCAGAGACTTCCTTATGAAAAGAATTCAATGTTTGTTAAGAGTAGTCGTCCTCCTATAAAATATAAAGGGTCCTATAGTTTATACAGTATGATTTGGACAGAGATAAGTGGCTTTGGGTAAAATGTGGCACTTTCTCTTGGTCATTGTTGTTGTCTCATACCTTTTTCTCTCATAAAAAGAATGGAATACAAGTTTATATTTTTTAAATAGTCGTTTTAGCATATACTGCATACATTATATTATACAATTTAATCTTTCAAGCTTATTAAGATTGGTGAAATCACTACCACAATCAATTTCAGAACATTTTCTTCTCATATTCATTTTATTTTATTTTATTTTATTTTATTTTATTTTATTTTATTTTATTGGGGGCTCTTAGAGCTCTTATCACAAGCCATACATATATCCATTTTGTCAAGCACATCTGCACATATGTTGCAATCATCTTTTTCAAAGCATTTTCTTTCTATTTCAGCCCTTGGTATCAGGTCATTTTTTCCTCCCTCCCTTGATAATTTATACATTATTATTATTTTTATGTCTTAAATCGACCGCTGTCTCCTTTCACCCACTTTTCTATTGTCCATCCCCATGGGAGGGCGCCATACATCGATCATTGTAATCGGTTTCCCCTTACCACCTCCCCTCCTTTCACTTACCCTACTAGTATCACCATGCCCCTTACTGGTCCTGAGTGGTTTATCTGTCTGAGATTCCCTGTCTTGCAAGCTGTTCTCTGTAGCAGTGTACATGTTCTGGCATAGCCGGATTTGTAAGTAGAATTGGAGTCATGACAGTGGGGGAGAGAAAGCATTAAAGAACTAGAGGAAGGTTGTGTGTTTCGTCAGGACTCGTATTCATTTTTGATAGCTCCCAACTACCCCACTCCCTCCCCTGACATGCCCCGAAGAAATTATCAATCCATGTACTGTCTCTATAGATCTACCTATACTGGATTTCACATATAGAAAATGATACAAAAACAAACAACAATGGCTAAACAAAACATGGAAAAATCTCAATTGAAAAGAACACAGAAAATATTAAAAATTGAAACTTTAAAACAAGTCAAAGGGAGATCAAACTATAAAGTTTTACGTTTCAACCTAAGTACGGCAGCCACAATAGACTTTACAATGCTCTCTGTCTGATAGAAAGGCTACTTATTCATATCCCTGGACTAAGCTCACAGGGAGTTCACCAGAGGCTTAATACATGTGAGGACCCTGCAAATGGATTTTGGACTTCCACTGTCATCCATAGCCTTCTGAAAAATGGGTGTTCACAATTTAAACTCTGATGCCATTTCCTCTTTTGAATTTGGATTTTATTATTTACAATCCTTGGACAACAAAGGCTGGTGACATGTGGACTCAGTTGATGCCTCACTTATACAGCTGCTTGTTTTAAAGATGACCCTAAATACTATTTTTTCTGATAGCTGGACACTATCTAGTTTCTTAAACACACTTTGCTATGACACTTACAGCTTCAGTGATCTCTTCATGGGTGAGGACAAGCAGGGCCATTTCATAAGGACTAATTGTTCCTATGTATCTATCGTTGTGCCAGTACAAAGCAGTGGCTGTGTAGGTTTTGAGGTCTGGTAGGTTTTGAGGTTTCCTATCTTGTTTTTCATTTTGAAAAGTTCTTTGTTTATCCTGGGCCTCTTCCCTCTCCATATGCAGTTGATAATTCTTTTTTCTATTTCTTTAAAGAATGAAGTAGGGATTTGGATCAGAAATGTGTTGTTTTTATAGGTTGCTTTAGTTAATATTGACATTTTCACAATATTAAATCTTTCTATCCATAAACACAGCATATGAGGCAATAAAAGATACTATGGCTTAGGTCAAGTGCACTTTCATCCTCAAAATAACATCCTTGTTTTTCAATAGTCTAAAGAGGTCTTATGCAGATATGCCTTTCAGAACTTTATGTCACTCCACTGTCTTCAACCTGCATGGTTTCTGCTAAGAAGTCAGAGCTTATTCTTATTGGTTTTCCTTTGAAGGTAACTGTTCTTTTTTTTCCCTAGTTGCTTTCAGGGTTCCCCCTTGTTCCTTCAAATTGGAGAACTTGACTATGTGTTGAATTCTATTCTTTAGGGAT